TCTGTTTTCAATTTACAGTTAAGTAAAGTTTTGCCAATACCTTGTAGCATTTAATGCCACTCCGTGGTAGTGTGGCCGAGTCGTCCAAGGTGCTGGATTTAGGCTCCAGTCTCAATAGAGGCGTGGGTTCAAATCCCACCACTGCCAAATTTGACCTGAAAAATTTTCTATTTAAGAAAGTTGCCAAAATTTGAACCGTTTGGTAAAATATTTGGTCTTATTTACTTTGGCTTGATGCGGAGGATTTTATAGCTTGTTCTAGGACGTTACACGTTCTGTTTTTAATTTACAGTTATGTAAAGTTTTGCCAATACCTTGTCGCATCTGTTCTAGAATCATGGTAGTGTGGCTGAGTGGTCCAAGGCGCTAGATTTAGGCTCTAGTCTCGAAAGAGGCATGGGTTTTAATCCCACCACTACCAAATTTGACATGATTTGATTCTTTAAAAAGAAGTTCCTAAAACTTGAACAGTTTGGGAAATATTTGTTTTTTTTTTTTTTACTTGATGCACGATATTTTGTAGCTTGTTCCAGGACGTTCCACACTCTGTTTTCAATTCTCCATGGTACTGTTGGCCAGAGGTCTAAGGCACTACGTTTAGGTTCCAGTCTCAAAAGAGGCATGGGCTCAAATCACTCCACTGCCAAATTTGTCCTGAACTGTTTCTTTCCAAGGAAGTTGCCAAAATTTGAACAGTTTGGTGAAATATTTGTTTTTATTTAGATGATGCATGTGATTTTTTTAGCTTGTTCTAGGATGTCTAGGCTCCAGGCTTGAAAGAGGCATGGGTTCAATTCCCACCACTGCCAAATATGACCTGAATAAATTTTTCTTTAGGAAAGTGGCCAAAATGTGAACTGTATGGTGAAATATTTGGTCTTATTTACTTTGGCTTGATGCGAAGGAGTTTATAGCTTGTTCTAGGACGTTACACATTCTGTTTTTAATTTACAGTTATGTAAAGTTTTGCCAATACCTTGTCGCATCTATTCCAGTTCCATGGTTGTGTGGCCGAGTGGTCTAAGGCGCTAGATTTAGGCTCCAGTCCCAAAAGAGGCGTGGTTTCAAATCCCACCACTGCCAAACTTGACCTGAATAATATTCTTTTTAAGAAAGATGCCAAAATTTTAACCGTTTGGTAAACTATTTGGTCTAATTTACTTTGGCTTGATGCGGAGGATTTTATAGCTTGTTCTAGGACGTTACACGTTCTGTTTTAATTTACAGCTATATAAAGTTTTGGCAATACCTTGTCGCACCTATTTTAGCTACATGGTAGTGTGGCCGAGTGGTCTAAGGCGCTGGATTTAGGCTCCAGTCTCAAAAGAGGCATGGGTTAAAATCCCACCACTGCCAATCTTGACCTGAATAATATTCTTGTTAAAAGAGTTGCCAAAATTGAAAGAGGCATGGGTTCAATTCCCACCACTGCCAAATATGACCTAAATAAATTTCTCTTTAGGAAAGTGGCCAAAATTTGAACTATATGGTGAAATATTTGGTCTTATTTACTTTGGCTTGATGCAGAGGATTTTATAGCTTGTTCTAGGACATTACACGTTCTGTTTTTAATTTACAGTTATGTAAAGTTTTGCCAAAACCTTGTCGCATCTACTCCAGTTCCATGGTAGTATGGCCGAGTGGTCTAAGGCGCTGGATTTAGGCTCCAGTCCCAAAAAAGGCATGTTTTCAAATCCCACCACTTCCAAACTTGACCTGAATAATATTCATTTTAAGAAAGATGCCAAAATTTGAACCGTTTTGTAAAATTTTTGGTCTTATTTACTTTGGCTTGATGCGGAGGATTTTATAGCTTGTTCTAGGACGTTACACGTTCTGTTTTTAATTTACAGCTATATAAAGTTTTGGCAATACCTTGTCGCATCTACTCCAGCTCCATTGTAGTGTGGCCGAGTGGTCTAAGGTGCTGGATTTATGCTCCAATCTCAAAAGAGTCATGGCTTAAAATCCCACCACTGCCAATCTTGACCTCAATAATATTCTTTTTAAGAAAGTTGCCAAAATTGAAAGAGGCCTGGTTTCAATTCCCACCACTGCCTAATATGACCTAAATAAATTTCTCCTTAGGAAAGTGGCCAAAATGTGAACTATATGGTGAAATATTTGGTCTTATTTACTTTGTCATGATGCGGAGGATTTTATAGCATGTTCTAGGATGTTCCTCACTCTGTTTTCAATTTACAGTTATGTAAAGTTTTGCCAATACCTTGTCGCATCTGTTCTAGAATCATGGTAGTGTGGCCGAGTGGTCCAAGGCGCTAGATTTAGGCTCTAGTCTCGAAAGAGGCATGGGTTTTAATCCCACCACTACCAAATTTGACATGATTTGATTCTTTAAAAAGAAGTTCCTAAAACTTGAACAGTTTGGTGAAATATTTGGTTTTATTTAGATGATGCATGTGATTTTTTTAGCTTGTTCTAGGATGTCCAATGCTCTGTTTTTAATTTACAGTTATGTAAAGTTTTCCAAATACTTTTTGGCATCTGGTCCCACTCTGTGGTAGTGTGGCCGAGCGGTCTAAGGCGCTGGATTAAGGCTCCAGTCTCAATCGAGGTGTGGGTTTAAATCCCACCACTGCCAAATTTGACCTAAATAATTTTATTTTTAAGAAAGTTGCCAAAATTTGAACCATTTGTAAAATATTTGGTCTTATTTACTTTGTCTAGATGCGGAGGATTTTATAGCTTGTTCTAGGATGTTCCTCACTCTGTTGTCAATTTACAGTTATGTATAGTTTTGCCAATACCTTGTAGCATCTGGTGCCACTTCATGGTGGTGTAGCTGAGTGGTCTAAAGCATTGGATTTAGGCTCCAGGCTTGAAAGATGCATGGGTTCAATTCCCACCACTGACATATATGACCTGAATAAATTTCTCTTTAGGAAAGTGGCCAAAATGTGAACTATATGGTGAAATATTTGGTCTTATTTATCTTTGGCTTGATCCAGAGGATTTTATAGCTTGTTCTAGGACGTTACACGTTCTGTTTTTAATTTACAGTTATGTAAAGTTTTTCCAATATCTTGTCGCATCTGTTCTAGATCCATGGTAGTGTGGCCATGTGGTCCAAGGCACTGGATTTAGGCTCCAGTCTCGAAAGAGGCATGGGTTTTAATCCCACCACTCCCAAATTTGACATGATTTGATTCTTTAAAAAGTTCCCAAAACTTGAACAGTTTGGTGGAATATTTGGTTTTATTTACTTGATGCACGAGATTTTGTAGCTTGTTCCAGGACGTTCCACACTCTGTTTACAATTCTCCATGGTACTGCTGGCCAGAGGTCTAAAGCTCTACGTTTAGTTTCTAGTCTGGTTTTATTTACATTTACTTGATGCAGAGGATTTTGAAGCTTGTTCTAGGACGTTACTTGGTGCCTCTATTAATATATATTTTTTTCTTGTTTACACAAGGTAAAAATAAATGACATTACTATAGGCAATTAAAGAAGTAAAGTTCAGGTTTATGTCTTAATTGTTAATTAAGTCCCTCTTGTCACATATCCACTTTGCACAGGCCGCTAGCACCACCTGCTGGTAAGGACGTCTAACAGCAGATGGCAATCTTCTACCGGTACACTATTGCTTTTCCTGCAGTTCCCAGATGTGAGCTGTCAAAATTGAACCACTGAATTTTCAGAAACGAATTTGTAAAGGTGAAATAAAATGAACCGAAAATTGTCTGACGAATGTTATTGTTGGAATTATTAAACAAACTGAATATTTTGGAAATGGACTTTGTGAGGAGAATATTAATTATTGAATGTTTAACAATAAAAAAGTAGGTGAAATATTTCCGATTGATATTTTCACTTCTTAAATATAGAACCATGTAAAAATGCAGCGCACAAAAATGCAACCCCTGCAAATACAACGCATTAAAATGTAAGCACTGTTAATTGCAATGCATTTTTTCCACTGTTGTGTAATTCAACAAGCTTTTTATTTCAAATATTTTGCCATTATTTTTGTTCCATAATCACAGTAATTCACACAAACGTGTGCGTCGAGGAAATATTGATGCATTGATGCAATGACACTTCCTGACTAAAGATGGCATGTTCAGTACAACAGATGCATTCTGTGCCATACACAGAAACAGGAGAGAAGAAGACAACAAAAAGAAATCAAAGATCAGATAGCAAAAAAATCCTGGATGTTGAGTGGTTTATTCTGTTGGTGACTGAAATTTCAGATCTGTGTCTAGGTTTTTATATGTTTCGTTCACAGATAAAGCTCCATCTGCAGTGTAGAAAATAATAAAAACAACCCAACAGCATTTTAAACTTTTGAAGAATTTCTAAAATTTTGTTGAGAATTCAAACTTTAAGACATTTATCCCAAAATTATTACAAGCAATGACAAAAGTACAAAATTAAACCAAACAATAGACTCTGGTTTATTGCAACAACAAGGATCATAAAAATATTTTAATACAGTCTGTACAATGGAACCTTTGCAAATCTTTTGAAAGAAAAAAAAATCTAAACTAAAGAGAGGCTGTACAGGGATTCTAAAAATCTTTAGGCCTCCGTGTTCTTTTAGAACAATCTACATATAAACAGAAATTATTGCTCGTGAATACAATCACTCAAATAAAGGCCACAATCAGCCGTCCATTCATCTGAATCCATCCGTCATCACACTACAAAGATTTGTTAAGCTTCCGGAGTGTTTGAGGACCAACCAGACTCTGATGGATGGGCACATTGTTGGCAGAACGTCCATTTTTTGGTGAAAAAGCACTTTTAGTAAAAGCAAAACAAGGCAAGAGAAGTAAACTAGCAGGAAAAGCCAAACTGAACTAGCATAAACCGATGAAAGAGAATCTGATTTGAGTGAAATAAAAAGAATCACCTGAGCAGGAAAATGAAAAACACAGAGGGGAAAAATCAACATCTCGGTCACGGTCCACCTACATGCTTTCTCCCACTGAGCCCAAAAAAAAATCTAAATGCCACAAAGAAAAATGGCAGCAACTGCTTCAAAAGTTCGTGTTGAAAAGCAAAGGCAGAGGAGGACATTCAGACGATCGGCTCTCCGTGTGCAGGGTCACCTGAGTCTGGAGGACTCGCTCACTCATTCAGGGACAGCAGGATGTCATCGTCGAGATCAGAGTTATCAGAGCTGTCGGCTGCAAAACAAAATCACCCCAAGTGTGAGAGACACAAGGTAAATTCAATTCGAGCTCAAATCTAAGGTTTTAAGGCAACCAAGAATCGAATCTAATTTTTAAAGCAGTTATAATAAACGTTTGAGCACTCTATACCTTTTTATAACATTAATCATGAAAAACAGCTTTGAATCCAATCGTATCTTTTCCCTCTAATAAATGCACCATTTACCCCCGTTCACCCCCTGTTCCTACCACAGCCATGCTTTCCCCACGCCCCTTTTGGGAATCATGGGTAATGTAGTGAGTAATGTCGCAGGACAAACAGAACGACATGAAGTTGTTCAAGTTGTTCAAAGAGATTCAAGAGTTGATTCCTGGAAAGGGACATAAATAAAGCCCAAAGTGCGTCAAAGAGTTCTGTGTAAAGGTCTTTGCACACACAAGGTCCGAAACAATTGTACGATCAAAAATATAATTGCGCTCACTCTGTGTTTGTTTTTATATATTTTTTTTTATTTGTAATAATCTGAATGGGTTCAAATTTTTAAAAAGGCGGATAAACTCTCCTTCCTTTCCGCGCATTCTCGGGATCGGCTGAACCCAGTATTTCATTTTCTGTTTTTGTTTTTTTTTTTTATTTATTTTGTAAAAGAGAGATTATCAGAACCTCATCACTGCTTGAAGACGCCTTTTTCTTTTGCGATCTGTTTGTGGTTTTGCACTTTTCTGAAACTGAAAATATCTGAAAAATATCCATTGTGCAAGGCTTGTGGACCAAAAATTTTCCAAAACTATTTTGCGTAAATATGCAACGAAAGTTTAAGACTTAAGTGTGAAAAGACCTTTAGTCTCATCACTTCGAAGCTAATGAATCCACTGTAAACGAGTAGTAACAACGATGAGCTTCACGCAGTTCAGTGCCTGTGTATGCTAACAAGCTTCCATGCTGTTTGCATGAAGTAGATTCAAACTTTGTTCATCAACTTTCTCATGCAAACCGCTAATATTGCTATGTCAACATTTATTAGGCCGAATGCTCAAATCCAAGTTGTTGATTGGGCCGTTGTCATTGCAACGTTTCACTATGGACATCATCATCACCAAACCCTAGTGACTATTACATAATGACCGACAGAAAACATGATATCTATTCATACATTACAAAACAAAGTTGAAATAAAACAAAATTTTGGTTGCTAGATCCATCTTTTTATTACATTAAACACTGATCCAGCTTTAAACATTAATCACACCATAAACAATTTGCATTCAAAGTAGTTTCATTTGAAAGATATATTCACCTTCAATCACAACAGAACAGTGACTACAATTAAGAGTTTGTTTAACACTAAAGGATGCCATCGTGGATTTCGAGCCGGTGACTGGAGCTGTTAGACCAAAAAGTGAAGTGAGGGAATTTGTGACGTGCTGGTACAAAGTCGCTATGACAATGTTAGGTGAGTGCCACCAAGCTGCTCTTTTACCTAATCAAAAGAGCAGCTTTCATTGGTCATCCTTGATTTCCTCTATTTTGAAAGTAATTTCTCAGTAAGAGTCCAAGTGTTTCTCCTTTTTCACCCTTGTGCATGTGACTGATACTCACTGCTATCCAGTGCCAGATCTGGATCCTGCTCAATCTCATCAGAATCACCATCATCATCATCATCATCGTCGTCATCATCATCGTCGTCATCGTCGGCATCCTCATCCAACAGACGAGCTACCTCCTCGTCATCAGAGGGAGAAAAATCCTGCTCTCCATCCTCCCCCTCCTCGTCTTCTTCGTCATTGTTGTCATTCTGCAGCTCGGCCAGCAGAGGGTCCGTATCAATGTCATCATCATCAGAATCATCGTCATCGTCGTCATCATCGTCGTCGTCGTCCTGATCTTCCTCCTGAGTTAAAAACATTGAATAAATGAATAAGTGAGTGACGGACATTGATGAGCTACAAAAAAAAAATAATAATTCAAGTGAAACATTAGCGACCGGTTCCATGAGTGAACCAAGGACCGCCTCATCGATCAAAATATGGACACGTTTGAGGTAAAACAACTAAAACCAAATCTTAAGATTGTCTAGTGATTTAACCCTTTAACTCCTATAATGATACGATAATTGCTACAGTTTGCCTGGTGTTCTTGTCTTGTTTGCAATCATTTTCAGAAAATTGTGTTTGTATGATTTTTTTTTGTGGCATTTTTCTTTTAAGAGGAAATAATACTTTCAAAATCTGGCAAATATTACCTTAACCTCTTAAGCCCTGAGGCCTATTTTCCGAAAATCCTATACTTTTACTTTTTAAGGCATTTCTCAGCTTTTACAAGGTCTAAACTGCAAATCTTGGTATCAAAATGAAGATAGGTTCTTGGGGAGTGGTGTGGATGAGTTAATTTGACAGTCAAGAACACTGGGTAAGAGTAATTGATGTTGGAATGGCCAAAAAATGAACTCCGCCTAAAAAAAAACACATGTTTCCTCCAATATCTCCTTATTTTACTTATAACGAAGCAAATAAACACAATCAATTGTAACCACTACATGTCAAGAACATCTGTAGCAAGTTTGGTGTTCATACTACAAGAAACTAATATTCTGTAAAGGTTTTGATTGAACAAAGTTCAGGCGTAATCCATGTTGGCACAGTTTGGCACAATTTGGCACAATAATTGAAATATGGAAAAAATCTTGTCCAAAGCTTCAGCTACGTTCATAGTCTTCTTTTCTTGCTTACGGGACAT